ATAGAATAGAATAGAATAGAATAGAATAGAATAGAATAGAATAGAATTTCTTTATTGGCCAAATGTGATTGGACACACAAGCAATTTTGGTGCACATGCTCTCAGTATACATAAGAAAAAATAAAATACATTCATCAAGAATCATAAAATAGAACACTTAGTAATAGTCATAGGTTACTATAAGCAATCAAATCATACATATGTTACTAATACGCAATCAAAACATACTAGGAAAACAAATAAAACAATATAAATTGTAAAGATACAAGCAACATGCAATAATAGTCATAATTGGGAAGAGATAGATAATAGGAAGGATGGGAAGAATAATGGTAATACATTCTTACTAAGTAATTTGACAGTGTTGTGGGAGTTAGCTATTTAGCAGAGTGATGGCATTCGGGGAAAAAACTGTCCTTATGTCTAGTTGTTCTGGTGTGCAGTGCCCTATAGCATCATTTTGAGGATAGAAGTTGAAACAATTTATAATCCAAAACAATCCAAAATCCAAAACCAAGCCAAGGTTACAGGGAGAATATTTGGTTGGACAAGAGTGCCAAAGGGGTTGCATGTCTCCAGAGGACTTCACAGTAGCTTTTGACAGCAAAGAACTGGGAGGTATGAACCAAAATGCCAAAATTAAGGTAAAAGCCCAGTGTTTTAGAATTTCCTAATTCTGTAAAACTTGTATCTTAGGTACTTACTCCACCTTGTACTTATACCTTCAATCTGAGATCTATATACTACTAAAGCTCTGTTGCCATGACCTTTAACTAGGTACATCATAGGGCAACAATTTTCCAAAGTACCTCTAATTATGTAATTTACTTATTCTATTTAAAATTTCAATAAACATTTATACATTTCAGCAGTTTCACTAGTTTAGAAATGTACAATATTTTAAATTCTTACAAGGTTGGAAACCATGATTTGAAACCATAAATTATCACGAATGAAGGCAAATATACATGTCCAAGATAATGTTGAAGGTTCTAATTTGAGTCGACCACCAGGACCAGAGGTCTATTCCTCCAAGCTTTTGGACTAGTGTTGGAGCCCATCCTCTGGGAAATTAAAGTTGTAACGACGTTTCGGCAGAATCTCATCTCATCATGAAACCTAGCTTCCTAATAAACAATAGCTGACCGTTCACCCGAAGCCAAGCTGCACTAAAAGCCCCCAATACAGGAAACACTATGTTGCCAGCCAATCAAGACAAAAAAAACCTACAAAACAGACAGAAGATATTAGAAACACCAATAAAGCAGAACACAGCAAACTCCAAGACCAATAAACACAGACCAAGACTCTCAACCAATCAGGATGAAGAAAAAACCATTCTAACACAGCACGAGGCTAGCACCAAATTTAAAGCAGAAATGGCTGTGAAAGCCTGACTCACGGACGAACACAATACAGAAGCCTGATGATGGCAGATGAGATTCTGCCGAAACGTCACTACAACTTTAAAAGCACAACTATAATGACGTGGGAAAATACCCGAACAAAGCTGAATACCATATATATAAATACTCGCGAAAACCCATAGAGTTTAAATTATTCCCATTTGTTATTTCTAAGACACAAGGGGTATCTACTTGGTGAACTGTAAATAAGTAAAATTTAGTTTTGCTTATTTCTGGTAAAGTAACGCCAAGAAGTCAACATTTCAAATCAGAACAGAGAAATCTTGCAAGTTAGGGAAAGTTCAGAAGATTTCTTATTCCTAAGATTTCATGTTCTGACATATTGACCTTTTGTAACATCCTAGCCATTAATAAAAGTTTTTAAAGTGGTTTTGCTGCAACTACATTTGCCATAAAGATACATTTCCAATTTCTATTATAATCCTTAGACTTTATTGATTTATGAAATCTGAGCAGTGATAATAATGGCAATTTTTTAATTGGACTATTGTAATGTACTTTATATCATGTGTCTGATTTCAGAAATTACTGTAGTTAATTCAGTATTTTATTTATTTATTTTATTTATTTATTTATTTGATTTGCCAATTGTTTACAAGATAATAAGTATAAGTGTATACATAGTTGTGAATACATGAAATGGGTACATATAAGAAAAATAAAAGAATAAGAGAAACAATAGGACAGGGACGGTAGGCACGATGGTGCGCTTATGCACGCCCCCTGATGTAGTAGCTAACTTTCATCCATGGTTATATTGTACAATATCCAATATATTTTAGGGGACAAAATTATGACCCCTTAAAACTACTTGATGAACTTGATTCCTCCCATCTGAAAGAACCCAATAAATGTCAGTTACTTTTCCAAAGTTTAGCAAAGGTTCATATAGGTGATAAGCAGGATCATATGCCACCTCATCTCCCTGCTATTCCATATGCCATCTCCATTTTAATCAGAATTAGTTATTTTGGGCATTAGTTATTTCTCTTGCTTTTCGTGTAATCTGTGTTACATAGTGATTTATCTGCCATTACCAATTCAGGTGGGAAATGAAGTATTAACAATGTTCCTGTTCTCATGCAAATTTCCTTCATAATTAAAAATTTCATAAAGACTAAAATATGGCATGTGCAACAAAGTTTTTTGTATGCCTCTCCCCACCCTCAGTTTTTCACCAGGCATCAGCTGTTGCCTAAAATTAAAACTTTAAATATGCATCTAATTTGAGTTTAATGTTAAAATTATACATTCTACTGAATAAATACTAGTTTATCATTACAACCTGTTCGCTGAGATTGAAAACCCATGTAGAATATAATTACTCATAAAGTATTTGTTAAATAAGGTACATTTATAGCAACACAGGGGATTAGGATCTCAACTTTAACTGTTATAATGAGTGGCTCATTGTAGCTTAAAGGTTGATTAAGACAGCATGTTGGATGGTACTGGAGTCTCTTGACAATTGTACTGCTCTGGCTATCTTTGAATGTCTCCTCACCCCCTAACTTGAAGGCTTCTAATTCCAAGAATGTCTTCAAATAGTAAGTAGTGCAGCTTTGAGAAACTTCTTTTTATTCTATTTGCTTAATAAATAGTTAACATGGTAAGGTACCGCTTTCCAAGCTAATTATGGGAAGGGGTGTCACAGAAGGGTGCCATGAACATAAAATGCTGAGAACACATATTCTAGAAAAACAGAAAAAAGCTAAAACTGTACCACATTTAATTACTGTTTCAGTGTGTTTAAGTCTAATGAATTTCATTTGGTGATTACCACCTCTATACAATCAATTTTATGAAATTTGAAATCTTTTCATAACAGTGCGGCCTATAACATCTTGCTCAGACCCTTATCATTTATATTTGTTTTTTGTATTAGGGCAGGGTATCAAATTCAAGGTTTGTGTGCTTAGACCTGGTCCACGAGGCTCACCTGGAAACAGCTAAGAACTAGCCTGCAGTGCCTCTGCCAGTGAAAATGGAGCTTGTGAGGGTCATGTGCAGACCTCATGAGCTCTGTTTTCACTGGCAGAATGCTAACAAAACAAACTAGTAGCAAAAGTGGCATTTGATCACACAAGTGATATCGAGCTGGCCCACCCTGACTTGAGGTCAAACACAACCCTGATGCAGCCCTCAATGAAATCGAGTTTGACATCCATGTATTAGGGATTCTTCTAAGATGCTGTCTTGATTTGATCATCCCCTTTTCCCCCTCCACTATCAAATATTAATATGTAACTACTTAAAATTAGAAAGGAATGCTTCAATTTATCTCTTGCCTCCAAGCAATTAAGGAAGTGACCCAAAGGTGATTTTCCCAAAAGGCAACTGGACTTTCTTGATTTTTTTCTTTGAAAATGTTTAGCTTCTCATCCAAGAAACTGTTTCAGTTCTAACTGGTGTGGAATGGAAGGGTTTACATTCTTTGAAGTATAAACAGTGTAAATCCTTCCCAACCAGTCAGTTAGAACTAAAGAAACTTCTTTGATAGAATAGACAGACGACTTAGACTTAGAATAACTTTATTGTCACTTTGAATGTAATCGGCATACATTAAAATGAAATTTCATTGAAAGAGGAGTTGAATTCATTGACCGCATGTCTCAGTATTATACCGTGTTTCTCCAACAATACGCCCCCCCAATAGGAGGACCCAGCATGTTTTCTAGGCATAAAATGAAATTAAACCCCTCCCGCCAAATTTAGGCCTATTTTAAAACATGCAAAATTGGGGGAGGAGGCGGGGGGGAACTTGCCATTAGGAGCACCCACGGGCAGCTATGCCTTGCCATCAGCTGCTCCTAACAGCCAATCATGGTGGAACGCAGAGGGCTCCCTACCCCCACCAAGCGCCTTTGCTGCAGACCCAGGTCAGCAGGTGGGCGGTGTCGGCGTGGATGTCTGCCGACAGCGTTTCAGCCACTTCTCAGGCATACGTAGCTTCCATGGTTCCCACTGGTGCTGGCGCCTCTCTCACCAGCGCTGTCTCCAACAATAGCATCTGAGTCGCTCCCGTTTTCCCCCCATCCCTGTAACAACAGGAAAAACAAACATTTTGAGGTACCT